TAATTTGCCTTTGTCATTTCGAATGCGTAAAAAATTTATCCGGCTATTGCCGGCCCGCGCCGGGTTCGGTTGATGAAACTTGAATACAAAAACTCTCTGATGAACGGCCTCATCGCCATCCCCTGGGTTTGAACCCATCCTTTCCTACTTCGAATCTAGTATCCGCATATAGCGGATTTTCTATCTCGCCATATAGGACCAGCAAACGCGTAAGAGCTGAAGTCCGAAGGCTCGAACATCCTGTCTCTCCTATAGTCATGAACAATGGAAAGGATAATCAAGCTGGGCGAGGAGTAGAGAACCGCTCAAATATCCCGGACTCTGCCAAAGAAAAGTCCTCTTCCAGCTCACATTCTACCTCTCTCAAAGCCAAATCGCCTTCGGCCCCTTCGAAGGGACCCGAGAAACCAGCTCAATCGATATCTGCAAAGATTCTAGCAAGATTACCGCCATGGGTCAAAGATAATCTCAGAAAACCTAGATCTTTAAAAACCTTGTTTCGTTGCTGGCTCGCGTCTTGGCTTGGATTCATTATCCTGCTCCCCCATGCTTCGTTGAATACTTTGGGTACTGCGTACGTTGATGGTCGGTTTTGCACAGAAACAATATTCATCTTGATGGCTTTTGTAGCGCCTTTTTCGCAATGCTCTGTAGCTTCTTTATTCCTCCGAATCTCCCAGTGCAGTTGTTTCTATTCGTGAGTGGATCTTGTAATTATAGGTGCTCATTCTTAGCTAAACGCTTTCTTTCTGGATCATAGCTCATGTCCACCCTCGTAGTCGGTTTATGCTTCAGTTGGGGTGTTGGTGTGGCTGCGATGCGCGCAGCGAATGCAGCAAGAAGTACGGCTCTACTTCAGGCTGCCCAGGCGCAAGTACAGGCAAGGTAAGTAGACTAGTCCTTTTTCTTTCTTGTCCATAAGAATAGCCAACCTTTTTTCCAGCATTCAACATAACCCCGTCTTTCAAGCGAATCCCTCCCTTGCGGCTACAGCAGCAGTTTTTAACGGGACCTTCTTGGATATTCGGTTAGCTTTCGAATCTTTGAACTGTCTCCCGTTCTAACGGCGCTATCACTCAGCTCTTCCGTTATCTATGGCTGCTTCCTGGGAGTTTTTGCCTTCTTCTATGGTCTCATGAGAGCGTATGCTCCGAAGCTAGCTTTCACATCAATTTTCGCCACCATTGGGCGTACGTTGACCGTTTTGTTTTTCCTCGATCTGAGTAATAAAACTGAAAAATGTCTTTTCTTTCACAGTTGATATCTTTTGCGTAAGCCGTTCTCTCATTTTTTTCTCGATTCATGATTGAATCGCTTTGGTTAAATAGACGTTCGGCCCCCTCTTCCCGACGGCTCAATATACCCTCCTCAAATCGTTCCTTGTTTCCATCGGCTGTTACACCGGCATTGCTCTCATAACCACTCTGTTGGTATTTCCAGAGACCATGAGCCATTCTGCGCTGCGTACCGTCTGCGAGCAGCTCGAGAGAGTAGAGCAAGTTGTTGCGATCCAGAGTGAAGTGATGAAAGTGGTTTACGACGCACAGGGAGATGATACCAAGGCAGATGATACCAAGGCAGATGGAAAGATGGGAATCGATGAACTGGCGCCTGGTAAACCTTTGTTCATGAAAATGGAGGGACTTAAAGCTCTAATGGCAGGAGTCATGAAGCAATGTAAGTTTTAGTCTTTAACAATCTTTGCTTCCGCCTCCTCAAAACTTCCAGTGTCCGCCACTTCTGGTATGCTCTCCTTGGAGTTCAGTTTTGGTAAATGGAGTTCGGACGATGTCAAAGACGTAATTGACCCTCTCAGTTCCGTTGTCGCTCGTTCTCTTGGTCTGCAGAGTTTTGCGAAACTTGTGTGGAGGACAAAAGAGATACAGCAGCGTGGAAGCCAAGAAGAAGAATCCGAGTCCAAAGCTGCGGCAATCAACCAGACATCGACAATGACTTCGACTTCGACAAAAAATTCCGGCGAAACATCCAACGACGCCTACCTTCTCCGCCAAATTACCTCACTTAACAAGCAATTCGAATCCTCTCGTCATCTTGGCATCGCTGATGTCATGCCTCTCGTTGATTCCGCTACACTCGAGTTGCGCGAAGCTATAGTATCGGGTGTATCTGCTATGAGGAAGAACCTCAATAATATCAACCATCATCGGTGGACAAGGCACCCTGACGTCGATAGCGAACTGGAGAAGGAGCTGGATGTTGCCTACGAAAGGCTGAGAGGGGCACTGAAGGAGTTCACCAAAGACGGCCAAGATGCAACCAGGATGAAGCTCCTCGAACCTTTCCTTTCCCTATTACATTCCGAAATGAGCAAGGTCGAACAAGAAGCTCTTCCATTTAGATCGTTGTTCATTGCTTTTGTACTTGGGACCAATCTGGTTTCGTTGTCAGAGTCGATTTTGAGGACGATGGATGTTGTGAGGGAGACGGTAGCGAAGAGGAAGAGGAATAGGCTTTGGGCGCCGAAGGGGCTGAGGAAGATTGGAAATCTCTTTAGGGTGAAAGGCGTTGGAGAAGAGGAAAATGGGGCGGCTTTGGGGGAGGATGTGGCTGGTCAGGGGACTGCGGATGACGATGGATTCGAGGAGAAGGGAGTTAAGAGTGAGTTTTTCTTTCTCACTTCGTTATCAGCATCTGTTCACCATTCCGCTCTTTCTTTAGAGCTCGACCCTGACAGCAGGCCGCCAACGAATGTGTTCCAGAAGATTATGAATAGACTGCATAGGCTGTATGAATGGTGCGGAACGCCTGAAGCCATGGTATGTCTTTTTGTTTTTTGATTTATTGATGATATCGATCTCTTTTACCTGTTCGGTAGTTCGGCTTCAAATACGCTTTTGTTAGCGTTGCATTATGGGTCCCGTCTGTAGCGACTCGAACAGCTAGTAAGCTCTTTTTTTGATACTCTGATGTGATAATACCGGGTTCTGATTGGTGTAATAGGCTTTTATTACGACCAAAAGGGCCTTTGGTAAGATCCTTCTTCTCTTAATACGTGAGACCCTGTGTGCTGAAAATACTACAGGGCGCTCATCATGGCCCAGACTACATTGAACATCTACGCTGCTGTGAGTATAGAGTGTCGGCATCTCGAGCCACTTGATTCCAACCTTTTGCTTGCGATCGTAGGATCAAGTGTTCAACCTGGTTGTTCGTATTTTCGGCACAGTACTCGGAGCTGCAATGGGGCTGGCTGCGTGGTACATGGGTCAGTACTTCTCTTTTTCTTTTCGTCCTGCCTTTTCCTATCATTAACTTTGGTCTTGCAGGTAATGGGCATGGAACCGGAAATCCGTATGGAGTCGCAGCATCCACTGCACTTTTTGCACTTCCATTAGTGTTCCTGCGAAACTTTGCGCCTCCCCAGACTCTTCCCGGTGTAATGCTGTGCTGCGTAAGTGTTTCCATAGAACTTTATGGGTATCTGCGTACTGACTGACCTTTCGTGATCTTCCTCAGGCTACTTTTGCACTAGTTGTTGGGTATTCGTGGGTTGATGGACATATTGTGCAATTTGCCAGCCCCGGTATGTAGGACATTTCGTACTGATAGCAATTTGTACTGACGACCCCTCATATAGGTGTTGGATGGTCTGTTGGTTGGAAACGATTCACGTTGGTTATTATAGGCGAGCATTTCCTCATCTCACCTCCCTCCTCCTAATTCTAACACCGCGATACATACTTTAGGTGCAGCCGCGGCGTTCATCATGATGATGCTACCCCCAACTTCTGTTCGTAAAGTTGTACGTCGGCGCAACGCCTCTGCCATTTCGGGTCTAGGACATCTTTACGCATTCTTGATGTCTACCTGGATTGCGCAAGATCCGCACCTCGACTCGGATGAAGAATCGAACTTGGACCAGTCTTCCGCTGACGAAGGTAGAGGTGAGAAGGAGAAAAGCACAAATGAGAATGGAAACGGAAATACAGCCCGTCCAGATACCGAAGCTGGCGCTGCCTCGGCGTCCTATTCCCGTAGTGTACCCTCGGCTCGCTGGATCAATCACTTCCGCGGCCGATTGTTGGGTTTATCGGAGGAGCTTACAGCTCTGAGACAGTTGACGGCGACTGCGACTTGGGAGGGGAGTGTTCGGGGCAAGTGGCCGGCGGAGGAGTATAACGCTTTGTTGGCAGCGGAGGCTGAGATGCTCGTCGGTTTGGCGCAAGTATGTTCATTGGCTTTTGATGGGTCGTATCTTATTTTTTTTAATGTGCGCTAGCTCGGTAATGCATTAGGTCACCTGGACGACGATTGGCGTATTCAGTTCTTGCACAATACCCGTGTGCTTAACCCGCATTTTGTGCGTTTTCTTTCTTCTTTGTCCATGTATTTCACGACATCGTACTGATTTTTTTTTTGTTGTCAGATTACCGAAGTCATGGCTGTTTTTTCGATTGTTTCTCAATCTCTGCGCACGGGAGAGCCTCTACATCAGGTCCTTCCTCAGAGTCTGGTCGGTAGACTCTTGTATCACCATTATAATCATAAATATCTGCATGACGTTCCGTCTACTCTGCATGGTCATCATGACCATGATTCCCTTAAACATTATTTGTCGGTGGAAACAGTCTCATCATTGGATTATATGTATTACGCGACAGGGATTGTCGCTGTGTTTCTTATCCTAAACGTAAGTGTGTGTGGTCTATCGTTGTCGTGCTAGCCGCTGATAGCCTTTCATATGTACAGTCGGTCGATGAACTACACAAAATTACCAAGCGCCTTTGCGGGGAGGTTCCATTCAGAGGGTTTGAGGATTGGAGGAGTCGGTTTGAGAGTGAACATACAACACGTTTGTAATTATTTTATTTTTAATGTAAAGTATGTGATCGAAGTTTGGCTTATATATGCCACCAACGACTTGCCGAAATAAGCAATAGATCGACTTACAGTTAAACTGGGACGGTTAAGGACGAAGTTTCTATCATGTACCGCGACGCCGGGCGTGGTAGATATGCTATTTTTCGATTCCGAAACAAGTCCGCGTAACTCAGTGGTAGAGTGTGAGATTGCAATGTTTGATTAAATCTTGAAGTCGCGTGTTCGAACCACGCCGCGGACTTTCTCATCAAAAGCAAGTGGTATTTTTTAAAATTTCGGGTAGGGGGAGAGGGACTGTCTGCTCTGAGATTTTTTACGCTAACTTGAGTCGGAATTTTTCATATTTTATTCATTTCGAAGCTATTCAAGTTCTGGCTTCATTGCATAGAAGACAGCCCATTCCCATGAACAATCTTCCGATGCATCCCACTCTTGTTCCATCTCTTTCAATGCCCCCTGAAATTCGTTCTCTGACCCGAACTGCCCTGTTGTCAAAAAAGGCTGCTTCGCTGCCAAAAAGAATCCAAGAATATTCTTTTTATGCTCTTCGTATTCTTCCCTCTTCATTCCGGGACTCAGCGGAAGAGGAACAGTTCGCTTCTGTACATCAACAAAACCAGCGTCAGCAAGGAGCTGTCCCAAGATATTTTGGATCTCCGGTACAAGTCCTCTTAGCCTATACAAGGCTGCCCATGAGTCTACCATCCGTTTCATAGCTGGTCCACTGTACACCTCTGGTGTCGGACCAGTTTCCATGAATTGAATCCATCCACCGGGTTTGAGAACGCGCTTCAACTCATTCAAGGCTGATCTCCATTGTTCGGTGGTGAGGGCACCCGTAAGCAGACGCTGGTTTACGAGCTTGTATCTGTCGGACCACGACTTGGGAAGATCGGTCACAGAATGTGAGGCAAAACTGATGTTTGAGGGGTATGAAGAGGGGAAGAGACGGATTGAGATGTCTATTCCAGTTAAGGAAATTGTAGAAGGTATCTGTTGCGCCAGATCGAGCATCCAAATACCTGAGGGTAGAATACTGAGGTCAGCAGTATACTTCCGCGATCAGAACTTACCCGTTCCAGTGGCACTTTCGAGAATCTTGTCCCCGGGTGAGAGTTCTAACGAGCCAGGGACAGAGATGAGCTTTCCACCGAAGACAGCCCTGGTCATGAACCGACTTTGTTCGTTAAGTCTATGAGAGTGAACGACATTAACATCGCGATGGATGGGAAGAGATAACAAAATCGTTCTTACCGATTGCGCTCGGGCTCGTCCGTTGGTAAGATGTAGGCAGTTGAGAATCCACCGTCGGTTTCTTTGTTTAAATTTCGTTCGAGCTGTTCACGACTGTCTCTACAAGCATGGTCAACCGGTTGGGATATCTCGTACCGGAGGACCTTGAAGGACTCACACTTCGACAGACATCTTGGGGAGTCCCTCGGGGTTGGGGAAGAAAAGCGATAGTCGGCTTTACATTAGGACGTATAAGTATTTCGGTCTATACTAGCTGCTCCAACTAATAGCATACATAGAAGTCTCCCCAAAAGGATATTTGATAGGTTAGTTTACTCTGGATCGACACGATGGAGCGTACTGAATGGAAAGGTTAGTATCAAAAAGCTTGAAACGCCGCGACTGCACGCAGATTTTTGCCCAGTTCCGGGCACAGAAAATTTGCTCCATGAATGTTGCACACCCGATCTTCGCGTAGGGCCCGGTCATCGATGACCTCTAGAGTTACGAATCTGAATAGGAACTCCATCCGAAATGCATCGCCTTTTTCCCTCTACTGTGCCTCCGTCATATGAGTCGCAGAAGGTATCAAATACCTTCAAGACTGGTCTTCCTCATATGCAAGTAGGTAGGTTCCCTACGCTGTGAGTGATGAATATAATTCTTTGATGATCATCGCCGAACAATGCCGTGATTAACGTGCTAGCACATAGTTAGTCGTTGTAGGAAGCCGACTCTTAACTCTTTGAGTGACTTGATAAGTATATCGCATGAACTGTTCTAAAAAAAATTCTGTTTCAAGAGTTCTAACTGAGTTAGGGAGTTTTTAAAGTTAGATACAAGTTTTTTTAAAAAAAAGAGACGGTATAGGATCTGGGAGGTTGAAGAAAGGACTTTGGCGCTTGTTCGGCTCCCGCGGCGGATAGGCGCTTAAATTCACGTGATGATGGCCACGCGATCCCGTGTGTTGCTATTTGCCGCATGCATCCCTTGCTTCAACCGTCACCTCTTCAACGGTAAAGGACTGGTTTCTCTCTGTATCATTGCTACGCTGTCAATTCGGAATTGAAGGAAATCTCGACTAATCCTCCGACTTCTCTCCCCTCTAACAATCCCCTGAAATCCCGGAACTATAAAGAGATTACAATCACTTCAGTGCGTACTTCAGTATCAAATCTGAACTTTGCAGCGTTGATGTATCCTCTAATCAATCTCACTATTGTTACTCTTGGAATCAGCTACCAAATCTTAATCAACTACTTTCAGAAACTTTCATCAAATTGAATCTGTCCAGCAATGCGAAGAGCACAATCTGTCCGCCATCGTACTCGGGAGTCTTTGGGCAATACAAGTCAATTTGGGACTGTCGGTGGCGCAGGATCTTCCCAACTAGCGCTACACGCCGATGATTTAGGTGTTCTTCGTGAGGGGGATGAAACTGACGCCGATGTATTGAGGAAGCAGTTGTTGGAGAGGGACCGAGAATGTGACCGGGTAGGCTTTGAACTACTGGTTCTCTACTTGAATTTTACAATTCTATACTTCTTTTGATAGCTCAAAACCAATTTGTCCCTTCTGCAATCACAATTGACTGTCCGTCCGCCGGTAGAACATGTTCAAGCCCTGGAACGTGAATACAAAGATCTAGAACTGCTATTGCAGGGTACACAACGCGAGAATGAGAGGTGTATGGCGGAAATGGAACGGTGAGTAGTGATCCTTAAGGCGTCTTATTGGTGTATCGAGTAAAGCCTTCACATGCCTGAGTGGCACTTTCGCAGCCCTGTCTTGCGGCTCTCCCTCTTCGAACTTCTTCGCGTACCGTTTATGCTATAATGTGTTAATATCTTCGCTTTTAGCATGAAAATTCGCGAAAAAATGCTCGAAAGGGAATTGGCAAGATTAGCGGGAGATAACTGGCAGGTGAGTGGCAGCGACTCGTTTTACATTACAACCCCCGTTGCGTCTGTTTCTCCCACGCATTCTTCCAAGATTACCTCTTCCATGCCTTTTGTATTTACTCACTACGACGTTTTCCAGGAGACATTGGATCTTTCTCCCACTCCTCCGGCCAATGTAGGTACCCTTGGCCGCTCGTCCGCCTGGCACCAGAGATCGAACACCATGTCGAGTATGACATCCGGTTCCGGTCCCATAGTTTCATCCCCGACAGCTACGACTGATCAAGAATCCGCTTCAGCCGAAAGCAGCAATGACTCTGCGGCGCTCGCAGCACACATCGAGAAAGTACGTTTGCTGATACTTGGAATGGAGACACGGATGTCGAAGAGAGAAGACCAGTTGCAAGAGATGGTGAAGAGAGCTGAAGGAGAAGGGAGGAGGTGGGAAGAGCTTGCTCGGGTTTAGGCGGCTATGATGATTTCCTTTGGTTTGAAGTTTTGAACATTCGACGATAATTAATAATTCTCCTTGCAATTGCTAATGCCTTGTATATGGAAAAAATGCGGTCCCATGCGGGTTAAAAAGCAGTGGCCTGGTTGGTTCCGCATGTGCGAGTGGTGACTGTCAGATACAAGCATTGGGACTCGTACCTGCGCGTAGCGCGACGGCCGACCCTGCTTTGCTTGTGCAATATCTCCCATAGTATGTAGTTAATGTAGTCCCAGAATCAAGAAAGGATCAAGATGTGCATATTGTACTAATTATTCACTTAATATATGCTATGTAATGCAGAACCGCATAGCTGACCAACAGCTGACTACTGGAGTCTGGAGACTTTCACCATAAAGATGCAATGAGTCTTTATACTCTACCCAGCTGCTGCCAGTTCCCGACTCATTCAGAATCAGATTCCCAAATCAAATGTAACACTATGAGGAGTACAGTTGGATAGAAAGGCTGCAATATGGACTGTTCAAAAAGGTTCATACAGAAATGGAAAGATATCACTCACTAGGATCATGACAGCCACATACCGTAAAATAGAGTTATATGATAGGGAAAAAGTAGTCGCACTTTTGGCGTTCATGTCAGCTGCAATCACCATTGCATAGTATACTACCTATGTAGCAGCGCAAGTGATGTTCTTCAGAACAAATTATTGCAAAAAGGAGTCAAGATATTTACCTGAAGTAGACAAAACAGGGTTCCAGATTCCACCAAAAATCGGAGTATTTTATATGTTCGGGTTCTACCTAACTGGCTGTGATGTTCTTTGCCAAATATATTCATTTTCCTGGAGTAGATTAAATGTCAGAATTCCGCAAGACACACCAAACTAACCAAGCTTTATATGCAATTGCTGATGTAGCCAGAATGTTTGATATGAGGGAAAAGAACAAGGACAGGCTGGATTTGAATGCCGATCCGACACTTTCACTTAGGTCACTTTTGAAAGGACCGATGGCAGTGGACAAAACAATCAAAGCTTTAATAAGCAGAATAATGCAATAATGAGCGAGATAAGCTAAACATAGTAACCAGCAATAAAATATTCACCTGCATTTGAAATGGCAAAAGCAATCAAGATAAATTGCAGAAATCTATGACCATGCCAGATTGCCCAAGCCCTCCAGAAAACTAATGTGTCAGAAAATAAGAACTGTTGAAAACAGAAAATGTGAGCAATATTGTCATGATTGGTGTGCACATGAGTGTGCTGATAACGGACATTCAGGCTACCTGAAATGTTACCAATGTAATATAGCAAAAGTGGAGCCTTTGATGCCCTGTAAGCTAACACTCTTTCTTCAAGTTCCAGTGAATGGCCGTGAATGAGGATCATTTGAGGTTCCAAGAATCCTTCTGCACATATGGTCACAAAGTTGATTGTGGACATAGTGCAGAGACAAAGTTGAATGAAAAGAACTATTTGTCGCGGCCGCCTTCGAAGTCCATTCCTGCTGCAGAACGATGTAATGAGTGGGATTAAATCAGCATTCCGAGTGGAAAATAAAAGTTTCACGTCATAAAGTAGATGGCAAATCCTGAGGTTCCGATGTATAAGCCTATGAAATGTTGATCACAGATGGTTTCAAATGTAAAATA